TCACACACCCTTGGGATTGCAGCACAGCTGGGTGCTCACAGAGGGGGGAAAGCAGAGTGTGTATAATCATTCTGATATTGGTCTGGTTTCCCTTTCCAATCAAGTTAAATTGAGCAGCTTATCATGAAGGTAGAAATCACGAGCAAGAAAGAGGAAGCCTTGTGCACTCGTGTCCTTCAGCACCTGAGATTCCCGTGTCAACCAGACCAGGGTCTACCCAGGAGCAGCGGCAGCCTCAGCAGAGAACCAGAGACCGATGGGAGTCAGAGCTGAGCCGGGCCTGCTGCCCCATGGACCCTCAGCCGGAGGCGTCGCCCAGACTCACTGGAGGACGGTGGAAACACACCACAACTGTCAGGCCTAAGGGAGCTTTAAGACATTGACCTGAGCTGTGAGGCTGAAGGTCAAAGGGCCTGCAACTCCTGTGAACAGCTGTCTGGACTGAGGGACTGCTGTCCCTCAACAACAATAGAGCTATAAGACTGGTGTTGGAATTATTAGGTGCAGGGGCCATGACTGCTGTCACCCTGAAAAACAACCTAACTTCCCTAATGAAGCCCACAACCGTAAACACGGTTCTGTGAGGTCTGGGTCACTGCAACAGATTTCAGACCCCGCAGAGCAGTATAAGCATTCTTGTTTATCATCTGCTGTGACAACAGCTTTTACTGTCAGTCTGCCACGCAGAAGTGACCTGTGGGCAGCTGTGCTGCTGAAAGCTGTGCCATCGGGGTTTCAAAGGCCAGCAGGGTCACCTGTGGTGGACAGGCTTCGTCAGAGCTTCACGGTTAGGACAGACTAGAAAGCAGGACTGTCATACACTTCAATAAAAGGCCTTCAAAAACCCTATGGACAGTAGAGGAGTAGAGTTAGAAACAGGATGGAAGGTAGGGCCCTCAGATGAGAAGGCACAGGACAGGAAGGGTACAGATCTGCTGTCCATGGGGTCACTATGGGTTGTGGTCAACTCCATAGGACCTAACAACAGCTGGTGTTGGAAGGGAGCTCTGGTGGCCTAGTGGCAAGACACTGCACTGCAATCCCAGAGGTACGCAGTTCTCTGCTGGAGAAGGAGGGGGCAATCTCCTCCTGTACCAATCAGATCTGATTTGACGGTACATGTAAAAATAAAATTAAAAAAAGTTAAACACACACACACACAAACACACACAAACACAATGGGCATGAATGAAACACAATGTATATGCGTGATTAAAAAAAAAAAAGACTGGTTTTGGAATTAGCAGGTGCTGGGGCCCTGACTGAAGTTACAGCAATCGGTCCTGTAATGCGATTATTGTTGACAGGGCCAGTTCCCCTTTGTGGCAACGGTAGAGATCTGACTTGACCATCCTCATGCTGCATGTCCTCAGATGACTGTAGTGCTCGTTAGAGTACTGTGTATCCATTCTCAACAGCAACAACCGAGAAAAACTTTTTAACAACAAAATCTTTCCTTCCCAAGAAGGATGCTTATAGAGCATCTGGTATGACTGACAAGCATCCAAAAATATTTATTTAAAAAAATAACTACAAAGCTTCAAAGGAACAATGGTAAGACCTCCAGTTTGGCTGGAAGTCAGAAGGGAGAGTGTCACAGAAAACATGAAGGCCAAATTGCCCACCTTTCTTTCACATACTCACACCCTCCCCTTCACATACACAGACTCTTACACCCACAAACACACTCGCACACACTTGCATTCTGTCACACACACACACACGTACTCTCACATATATATCTTCTTTCTCACAACCTTACACACACCCCCCTCCCTCTCAGTCTCTCACACATACACACAATCTTACACAGACACAAACACATTCACCTACCTGCCTTCTCTCACACACCCACATACACTCTCACTCTCTCTCGGACTCACACACAGAAACATTCTCACCATGCTCCACACACACAGAGACACACACCCTCCTCACATTCATATACATACTCTGTTACACACAGACACAGACACACACTTTCTTTCTCACACACATACATGCCCAGCCCACCCCGGAACCAGGAACCCACAACAGAGCACTGAGCCCTGTCTTCTGAGTAGGTAGGGCATTTCCCACCAGTGTGTGTGTGTGTGTGTGTGTGTGTGTGTGTGTGTGTGTGTGTCCCTTCCTTCTAAACCTCAGGGCAGCAAGTGGCTTCACAATCACTGAAGTCCAGAAGGGCTCAGCAGTCCACAGCACATCCCCTTAGCCCATTTGCAAGGCAATGGAAGCCCAGAGAGGGTGGGGGCAGAGGAAGGAGGCAGCTTTGCCCTCCACCAGCACCGGGAGCTGTAAGGAAGAGGAGTGTCCTAGAAGCTGAGGCCACCCACCTGGGATAACAAAGCCAGGACTCCACCAGCCTGAGCCCTCCTATACCAAACTTCACAAGATGCTTTGTCTTTCAAATAACCTCAAAATGTCCCTAGTCTGTCTGAATATCTGTCTGTCTCTCTCACTCTCTCTCCCTCCCTCCCCCTCTCTTTCACACACATACTCACATACACACACACAGAAAGAATATCAAAGATAGGATGAAAATATCTCACAATCAAGTTAATTTAAGCAACCTTTGTAGAGAACAGCTGTTTGTTTCTTCTTTAAATACAATAGCGACTGAGTTTCAAACCCCAAAACATTTGACAGCAAAATTAATATTTTACAATAACTAGTACCTTAGTTTCAGAATCAGCAAAAATCCAGTGTCCACTTGTTACTGATTTCTTAGGAACACAAAGTCCACTGCATTTCTGGGAAGGATAGTTAGTGTTCAGAAAACTAATTGGTATGGATTAAATTCTATACCTGCAAAGTTAATTTGAGGGCTGAGAGTAGGCATGACACTCCCAAGCTTCTGTTCTTATGTGCATCTGAGTCACCTGTGACTCACAGCAACCCTACATACACAGTAGCTCTGACCTTTGCTCTATCCAGTCCCACTATTGAAAATATCAAAGGCCCGTTCATGCAATCCAAACTCCTTATGCTGAGCATGGAATGGTCGTAGGAGTCACCGGGAAAACAACTGCTTCCAGTTGGCACACAGGACTTCTTCAGCACACTCTGAAAACTGAGACCGTGTCATTTAAATCTCAAGTCACTTTGCAGAACGGTCTCAGAGGTCCTTCAAATGTCTTACTCTGCCTCGCATGAACTGCTTAAAGGAGCCCTGGTGGTGTGGTGGTTAAGGTTGTGGCTGCTGACCATGACGGGGTTGTCACGCAGCATGCGTGACTCGGCAGCATGCAGCAGCCCCCTTGAAGCCATAACCACGAGGTTCAGCATAAAACCAAAGTTGTGGGCAGGAAGCAGCCTCAGCAGCCCAGCCACACCTTGATGGTGCAGTGGTTGATGAGTGGTTTGCACCTCAGCTGCCAACCATGAGGTGGGGAGTTCAAATCCATTAATCCTTCCTCAAGAGCCACAATTTGGTGCAGTGGTTAATGAACTCAGCTGCAAAGCAGGAGGTAGGAAGTTCAAACCCATTAAGCCTCCTTAAGAGAAAGATGAATACCTCCAGCACTTTAAAGGAAGCGTCTTGGAAACCCTGTAAGTCTGCCCTCACGAGTCACTAGGAGTCAGAATTGATTCAATGGCAGTGAGTTTCCTAACTAGTGTTGTTGTTGTTAAGTGCCATCGAATCGTAGATGACTCATAGTGACCAAAAGGCCTGAACACTTGTATAACTTTCGTTCTTTCTCCAAGTTCATAGAGTTTCCAGAGGCAAGCCATTTCAGAAGTGGATGCCACTCCTGCTTCCAAACTTGTTTTAATTGAGAAGGTCCACCAAACACTGTCCACCATGGGTAACCATTATTGCATTTGACACATCAGTGTCTCAAAGACCCTAAAAAACTACTTGCCTTTTAAAATGCAATTGATGATGATAAAAAAACTGTTGAAAGAGGTGTCTCAGCTTTTGGAGAAAAATAAGTCACCGAAACGCATACACAAACCCCCTAACCCAAGGAAAGACACCCTGGTGGCACTGTGGGCTCAGCATTGGGTAGAAAGCCAAAAGCTCAGCGGTTCTAATCCACCAGCTGCTGGGTGGCAGAAGGCTGAGGCTGCCAGCTCCCATAAAGACGAAGCCTTGTAAACTGAGGGACAGACAGCTAGCTGCCCTCTGCCCTCTGGAGTGGGAACTGACCACACAGCTGTGGTTTGGGGGCTTAAAGAAACAAGACCTACTTTTGAACTCTTAGTGAAAGGAAGGGAAGAGAAGGCGTCTTTCCTGGACAACTTTGTCAGGTCATACAATACGGCCTGCTGTCAAAATCAATAGTACCTATTGCTAAAATGAGTCTCATGAGGCTAATCACCTGGGGGTGTGACGCCTGGCAGCTGGAGAGAGCACGCGGAACAACAATCCGTGTGTCACACACACGCATTCTGTATTCTCATATCTACTCATATTCTCACATCCGCTGTATTTAAGGCTGTAGAAGGGAGCTGGGAGGTGGATAACAGGCTGGCGGATGCTGTGCGGGCACAACGGCGCTGTGTTGCACGAAGAACTTCAGGGCGTTTTAAGCAAAGGCAGCCGAGCCCCGCCCTCCAAGATAGGTTTGTTTCTATGGAAGCTTCGGAAAATCCACTGAAGGAGAGAGCAGGCAGGACTGCTCAGGTGATGCCAGCCTTGTCACTTTTGATGCCTGGGCACCCCCCAGGGACTGTGACCTTATGGGCCTCACTAGGCGCTCCCCACGCTGTCTCTTCCCGGTCACCTCGGGATTCCTCCACATCCCCGGGAAGTGCTTGCTCTGCTCCCTGGAGATCTGGGATCCGATCTCTATGGACACCACGCTCCCAAGGACACTCCCTCGCGCCCGTTGCAGGATTTCTCTCTCCTATTCCCAGTTCCCTCCAAAGAATGCACAAACCCTTCAGGCACTACGAAGGTGGAAATCCCGGGGCCACTTTGACCTGGAGGGTGAACCCGGGGGTGGAGGGTGGGGAGCCCCCGTGGCCCGCGCGCCCTTCGCGCCCCTTCCACCTACCAGCAGGAGGTTGTGCGCCACCAGGTACCCCAGGCGCGCGCCGCCCCGGATGCCAGGGGCCAGGCGCCCCGTTGCGTAGCCGTGCCAGGCCACCACGTAGGGATTGTCGATGGTGATCCAGTGCTTAACCTGGCTGCCGAAGTGGCGGAAGCAGAGCTCGGCGTAGTCCCTGAAGAGGTCAGCCAGGGCGCTGTTGGCCCAGCCGCCATAGGCGTCCTGCAGGCGCTGGGGCAGGTCCCAGTGGTACAGGGTGACTACGGGCTGCACACCCAGCTCCCGGAGCCGCTCCAGCACGCGTCCGTAGTAGCGTAGCCCCTCGCGGTTGGGGGCGCTCGCGCTGCCGTTGGGGAGCACCCGCGCCCAGGAGATGGAGAAGCGGTAGTGGGTGACCCCAAGCTCGCGCAGCCCCTCCGTGTCACGGAAAACGTTGTTGTAGCTGTCGCTGGCCACATCTCCGTTGGCCGGTGAGGATGGCGACGGGGCGCCCGACGGGTGAGCGGGCGAGGGGTCGCCCGGGGGCTGCGAGGGCGGGTGGGTGAACGTGTCCCAGATGGACGGGCCCTTCCCGTGCTGCCTCCAGCCGCCTTCGGTCTGGTAGGCGGCGCTGCCCACGGCCCAGCGGAAGCCGTCGGGGAAGGCGGCGTGGAGCAGGCCGGCCGCCTCGGGGGCCGAGGGGCGCGCGAAGTGGGCCCAGGTCTGCGCGCCGTCCCCCGGCTCGGCGCTCACGCGGTGGCTCAGGGCCGCCAGCAGCAGCAGCAGCCGCGGCAGCGGCAACCGTGGCGACAGCAGCAGGGGGCCGCGCGTTGGGGCGCGCGGATGGAGGGCGCGGGCGGGCATGGTGCGCGGAGCTGGGCGCTGGAGCCCCGCGCGCGTCCTTTATCCACGCGCCCCGCCCCCGCGGGCAATCATTACCCGGGACCCGGGCGGGGGCGCACAGGCGAGCGGGCCCGAGAGGGGCGCAGACCCGGGAGGGGGCGCATCGGGCGAAGTCCGCGCATGGCTTCAACAGGCGCGCACCGGCCCACAGCAGAGGACGATTTGGGGGTCCCGCCGTTCTGGGTGCTGCCTCTCCCCATGGATGAGCCCTGCAGCCGCGGGAGAGGGGAGAAGAGGGAAGCGGCTGAACACCTCGGGCGCAGCTGCTCGAGGTCTCTGCGGGCCAGCCCTGCTAACCATCCTCCGTCCTCCACAGGGAGGCCCAGGATGAAGATGGGCGCTGCAGAGCCGGTAAGGGGGCTGCGCTCCCGGGGAGAGTGGGCCGGGCGGTGAGACCCTAGTTCCAGAGAAAGAGTCGGGTGGGTCTGTCCCGCAGGCCCTTTGCCAAGAGCCGTGGGTGGGACACACCCTGCAAGGGGCCCCCGAGAGCCTCCCTCCAGCCTCGAACTGGAGAAAGCCTTCCAGGAAGACGAAGTGGGAGCGCTCAGCAGCTAAGCAGAACGTCTGCAATTCGAATCCCACAGCCGGCTCCTGGAAACCCCACAGGAAGCTCCATTCTGCCCTGCGGGGCACTCTGCATCCTAAGAGACTTGACAGGAAACTTAGTGACACAGTGGTAAAAGCATTTGGCTGTTAACAGAGAAGCCTGCAATTGAAGCCCACCTTCTGCGGAAGAAGCGGCGGCAGTCAGCTTCTGTGAAGTCTGGAGCCTGGAAAGGCGGTGGGCAGTGGTTTCCCTGTGTCTTAGTTGCGTCTGGACAATTTCAATCTGGTGTTTGTTGGTCAATGTGGTGGCTGTCCCGGAAACTTCAGTCCACAACGAAACTGCTCGTGCCTGACATAGACCAGCTGAGTAACAAATCTCCTCTGCTTAAACTCCCTTTGCCTTTTTTGTTCTGTTGTGTCTGTTGTAGCAACAATCCCACCTGTGAGCCCATCATTTCTCTGTGGGAAGCTGTGGAGACATGTAAGCTGGAGCCGAGTTCCTGAATGAAGTCACCAGAACCTTGACAGGAAGCAGGGACCCAGGGCTGGACAAGCCTGGACCAGCACTCCCACTACCCCTCCAATGAAAGAGATTGGGACAGGTGTGCCATCCAGTGTCATTTTGCAGTGATAGATGTGACCGTGAGTAACAAGAGCATGTGGGAGAGCCCTGGTGAGGCACTGGACTGGTGACTGGAAGGCTGGGAGTTCAAGGCCACTGCTGGCTTCACGGGAGAGGGCAAAGCCATCTTTTCTCACCAAGTGGAGGGCCTCTGTGAACCATAACGGACTCACCACCTTGTGTCTGGTTGTCACGCATGTCCATGAGAAGTTTGAGGCCTGGACTCCACCTCTGTGACCTTGGGTGGGTTGATCCTCAAACCCTAAGGTTCTTCCTCTATTAAATGTGGAGTGGGAAACAGCATCTCCCCATGAAGATAAGAAAATAAAAGAGACTCAGGCACAGAATCCCTAGGAAAGTTGAACCAATGCATGGTGACCCCATGTGACCCATTCCTGTTCCTGGCCAGCCCCTTCTGATGCACCAAACCCCAAAGGGTTTGTTAGACAAGGCAAATCCATACCGAGGTGCAGCCAAGGAAAAACATTGGGAGCAAAACTCAAAATCATAAAGACTCGTCTTGCTGGTCTGATGGAGACTAGTGGAACCTCTCAGGCAATGGTCATTGGTCACCCGTCAACCTGCAGCTAAGCCCATGACTCACCTTCAGCCAGGCAGGTAGGTAGAACATACCCTGATGGGTAGACAGCCTATCAGGGAGGTTGTCACTTCCTAGAAAAGCAATCCTACAAGAGCAAAAGGGCAACGCTTGCCAGAGGAAAAAAAATTCCGAAGGCAAGGATAGCTGGATTAATGGAAATGGGAATCCCAGGGAGGACGTGGGAAGATGCTGTTATAACATAGGGACTGTCGGCATCTAAGTACTTAACCACTGTGTCACTATGGCCCCTTTAACACCTTTAGGCTGTTGACAGTCATGCTGAGGACAAAATTCAGTATGGAAATGTATGTATTTCCTTTCCTTGGATGCATCAATAAATTCTGGGCTGTTGGCAGCTGGAATCCCCCAGCTGACCAATGAGAGCCTGATGATGCGTCTCCTCCTATAAGATTTACATCCTCAGTGACGCAGAAGAGGATGTACAAGAGCTGGACAGGACTTTGATGGTGGTGGCTTTTATTTATGGTTTTAGTTGAGGTATAAATAACTTTACCTTCATAGCTAAAGCATAACAGAGAATAAATTTCTGATTCACAGAAGAACAAAGATGAGCGTCAAGGACTACAATCTTCAGTATGGGCTAAACTTCAACATAAAACAAAAATTCTCACAACTAGATTGATAAGCAATGGAGAAAATGAAAGTTGTCCGAGATTTCAGTTGACTTAGATCCGCCATGAAAGTAGCAGTCAGGAAATGATGCGTTTAATGGGAAAACCTGTGCCCAAGAACCTCTTTAAAGTACCGAAGAAAAAGATGTCACTTTGAAGACTAAGGTGTTTGCTGCCTTTTCAGTCACAAGAAAATACATATTATGTGGAAGCTGGACAGTGAATAAGAAAAGACTGAAGAAGAATTACTGCCTTTGACTTGGTGTTGGAGAAGAATGTTGACTAGACCGTGAATTACCAGAAGAATGAACAAATCTGTCTTGGGAGAAGGACAGCTGTGCTTCTCCATAAAAGCGGAGATAGTGAGACTTCTCTCACACTGCACGCATGTTACCAGATGGGGCCTGTTCCTGGAGGACGTCATGCTTGGAAAAGAGAGACCCACCAGAAGAGTGGCAGTTGGCTGCAGCGGTGGGCGGAGACACAGGATCAGCTGTGAGGACAGAGAGGACTGGACAGTGTTTCACACAAGGGTTCACTCAGAGTTGTGACTGCCTCATTGACACCTAACAAAAACAGGAAAATGTGAATTCCATGAAAACAAGCTGTGGCTTGTCCTCGGCAGCGTCTTCCGCCCCAGAACACGCCTGTGCGTGGTAGGTGTTCCACAAGTACTTATGGAGTGATTAAACCGTTGGTGAAGAGCAGCCGAGACAGAGGGTTGACAGTTCAGAAACCCTGTCCTGGCTTAGGAAAATGCACTGCGATCGGTAATGTCTTCCCTGGGCACAGGAAGGGAAAGTGGCCAAACGAACCCATATTTGACATCCTGTCTATGACCTGAATTACACATGACCCACACCTATTCTATAGAGACCTCAAGCAGATCTGGTGAGCTGGAACACAGAAGTGTGTAGCCCTGTTATAGCTTAAGTGCCAAGATAGCAAATGCCTTAGTTTGGGTTCTATAGAGGAGCAAAACTAG